GGTTAGAAGCCCCGGGGGGCATATTGGCAAATTTTTGATTTGTGTCACTGACTTTTTAAGCGCGGCTTAGTTAAGTAAACAACAAATGCACGTGTTATAATACGAAWAGCGGTGATAAACAGAATTGAAAACAAACGCACTGTGTTAGAAACGGAACTGTTCACGCTGAGTGATAGTCGGAGACTGACATAAATATATCTCCTACATTCTAACGCATTAAAAGCTAATAAAAACTGCAGTCAAAATAAAAATTAAGTAGACATTGGGAGTGCGTGTCATGTCAGTCCGTCGACGCGGATGTTTAATTTTAATTGTTGTTATTAATATATCTCGTTGATTGTGTCAACGTTATTAGCGGTGTTTTGAGTATGGCTAAGCGTATAAGTAAATGTGAGCGGAGTGTCTCGCGTCGCTGTTGTCGTCGAAGCGAGCATTGGATGTCATCATCTTTGCCGACATTGTTGTACTGTTAAATTTTCTTGGTTTTATTGCTTTTTTTTTATAGATATATCAGTGATATTTTATGCACCATTTTCCTAACAGCGAAAGGAAAAATTCAAATTTAAATAGTAAAACGCAACAACTTTTTATCTCATTCTCAACACCCTCTGCGCAAAAATTGCTCACCCTTTCGATTTGTTTAGAAATAAAATATATTTTACTATCCACCACATTGTCTGCTATTGGTCGGCTTCCTCAGCCCACTGAGGTGTTGAGAGGACAATATACATCCATACATAAGTATATGTGCTTTCGTTATATTCGCTTTCATGAAAATTAGTGTGGACTTGATCCCTTTGTATGACCGCTTAGTGTGATATGCACGCACGGATTTTCACTTTCAATATTCTTTATTTCGAACATCCTTACAAATAAATTGATGTACGTACATTCCTATTTATGTATGTTCCTTCCTATATTCATCTGTTCGCCGCCGTAGTAAATTGGCATATCTGTCATTATACGACACTTCGTTGCTATACTCTTTCTTGCAGATTCGTTTTGTGTATCTACTTCGCCTGCTTGCGGTACGACTGGGGCTAGTTACACTAATAGCGGTGTCGGTGGCAGTGGCGCTGACGCTAACGTCGACTTTATAGCACTTATTTGCTCTCTGTTGGCATTATTGTTGTCTGCTAAAGCTTTACGTGCTTTCTTTCATCAAATGCTTCTCCAATCTTTGCTTTTTTGCTTCGTACATCTTCCTTGATTTTATCATTCTATCTATTTTCGTATGTGAATAAAAAAATGTGCCGGCCGCGAATACCACTGCCACTACGATTTTGACTACGTTAATAGCGCTGCTGCTGCGGCGGGTTATTAATTTCTTTCTTCTTTTTGTTGTTGTTTCTTTTCCTTTGCTTGTTTCTCATTACAGTGTTTTTGTTTGTTTGTACGATTGTTTATAGATATGCTTGCAAATCCGCTGAACTACTGTTAGAAGAGGAGCACCTTGTTTTTGTTATTCGTTTAAAACGAAGCGCCAAAGCTTACAAAACTAACTAGTTTGCTTTGTGGCGCTTTTTATCGTTTATTACTCTATCTCCTTGTTAATTGGGGTTTCACCAAGTTTAAGGTAAAACCTATAATTTAGTTTTCTTATCGCTAAGAAACATTCTCATAAACTATTGTAATATAATATATAGAGAGCACGAGTTATGCATCGCCAGCGAAACGTCATGACATGTTTATGTTTACATTTACAATTTTCATATATTAGCCGGCTTGTCTGTCGAAAATTGTGCTGACACGATTTTTTTTTTATTATGTGGGTGGATACATGTGAAATTTGAAGATTTATGAATTTAATCAAATAAGTATGAGTTATAGCATACGACTGACACTTAATGTAAAAATTTGAACTGCCTCATAACATTCTTAAAATGTTCATGATGAGTTTTGAAACATTTCTCAATCTCTGACAATATTCATCTCGCGGCGCATTTTTTTACTTACATATGTTGTCTCATTACATGCCCTTCGATCCTCTTCGAACACATGTTACCCTATGAGCCAACCATTTTGTAATTTCCTCTTCGGTGTACTTACTATAAGATTAAGTATAACAACACCGACATGCAGAACGATTATTTGAGAGTTGATGAAAAGAAATCATAAATATTTCAAAAAAGGATTTTTAAAACTAATCGATATGTAAAATTATCCTCTATTAGCTGGTCTAATCTAGAGGTGTCCCAGTTTTATATTTTCAATATTATTGTAATATAATTGCGCATACTAAATACAATATTTTTCATATAATAATAAATTTTTGTTTGATAAATTAGGGAAGAGCAACTGCAGTTTGTGATGACGGCGTATTTGTGGAAGTTGACGGGTAAGTTTTTAATTTTTTACATAATCCAACAATGTTTATTTGCTTTTGATTAAACAATTTAGTTGTTTTTTTTAATTAAATGTGGTTTAAACAAGGAAAATCAAGTCGGATTTGTAAATAATCTGTATTGCATTAATTTTATATGCGCGGACAAAAAAAAGCACATATTTATAGATAGTATGCGTCGAAACGTGTCAGAACGAGGCATATGCATAAGAATAGAATATTTATTTTTAGTTGCGAATAGGAGCATGCCGTCTGTGCCTTATATTTTTCTGCCTACTATAGTTTTGGAAGCTTGTAAAGCTTTCGTTGCGCAGCCTAAAAAATGTGTGATATGTCGAACCATCAGTGGTCATAGAACTGTGGTTAAAAATACATTACGCCTGAGTCTTATTTTGGTCTATGTGCCGTGCAACACAGAAGTAAATGACGCATTCGAGCCAATACGACTTGACCTATTTAAACGATTCCATATATTTTTGTGTTGAGTTTTTATTTCAACAAAGAAAAATATTGAAATTACCTTCTCAGCGGTAGTGGTGTGTTCAATTTATGAAAAAAAAAATATATTTCCGGATAAAATTTAATGTCATTGGCTGTTACGTCGCAAAACCCGCACGCTTGCTACCTCCTTGCAGTAATCAGTAGCGTGTATATGGTTGCTGGCGCATTCGGTAATGCTTGCCATCGAGCAGCATAGTCGCATGCGATCATTTGGTTGGCATTGTGCCAAAAGTCGCCAAGAGACATATCTTCGCCTCTTATGCTCTACTTTTCTGCTTTCTAATTTCTCTGTTTGCAATGTTATACATCTTTGCGTATTGGTAGCACTTGTTGGTCGCCACATTCTTCGAAACCAACGCCGTTTGTGCGTCCCTATTTAAGTACAAGCTTTTGTGATTGTTGCGCTGCCATCGAAAAGCGGCAAATATCAATGTATATTAATTTCGGAAAGATGCAAACACCTGTCCAAAACTTATAACTCATTTGGACGTAAATTTTGAATTATTTTGAAGACTCTTAAAATGTGTTGTTGCATGTAAAAATGGCAACAAATCAACTATTGCTGCTGTTCGTTGTGTGCTGGCAGGCCCACACGGGGTTTCTTCGAAATTAATTTTTCATTTATTATATTTAAAAATCTGCCCACTAATTGCTTCTGGCTGTCAATTAACGCCTTAAGTTTGCTTATTTTTTTTTACCATTTCTTTATTTTACTAATACATTTGTATATCTTTTCACTCTTTCTTGGTGTGCGTTCATCCTTTTTGAATGCATAATACAGCTGTCCCGATGTACAAAAATATCCCTTCTCAAATGTGCGCTTCCCGCCAGAAGAAAATGAGAATCCGCCCGCCTTTGAGGAAGGCATGGAAGTGGAAGTGTTCACCCGTTCAACGGAACGAGAGTCCTGTGGTTGGTGGATTGCTTCCATTAAAATGATTAAGGCTGAAATCTGCGCCGTTGCGTACATAGGCTTTGAGACACCGTATACTGAAATTTGCGAACTGAAGCGTTTACGTATCAAAAATCAAAATCCGCCATTGACATCCAAGTCATTCTATCAGTTCTCGATACCCGTACCCGAGGAATTGCGACAGGAGTGAGTTTTTGTTGCTGTTGTTATCGTTATCATTACCATTATAATTTCACTAATAATCGAACATAATTTGTTTTTGTGGATATTGTTTTCTTATCGGAATTTTACAGAGCGCAAAAAGATGGTATTCACAAGGAATTTCAACGTACAATAGGTGCCGGCGTGTGTGTATACAATCGCGATTTGGACAGTCTTATTGTGATTTCGAAATGGGAACACACTCAGAAACGTGCCAGCATGCTAAAAGATATGCATTTTCGTAATTTGGCACAGAAGGTATGTTATCTGATTATTAAATACGCTTTAATGAATTTGGAGAAACCAAAAATCTTTAAAATATTTTTTTTCTTAATCTGCAGGTTATGCTGTTGAAAAGAACTGAGGAGGCTGCTCGTCAGCTGGAATCGACTAAACTGCTTAATCGTGGGTGAGTTTATTTGAGTAGAGTTGCTACTTAGGGAGAAGGATTCCTTTTATTCTATAAAGCCATCAGGTGACATAGCATTAAACCATAAATTTTATTATAGATCATTTTAGTTATTTATCGAAAATATATTTGGCTATAATATATACATAAGTATTATTTGATTCGCTAAGCTTTAGAGCGTTGTAAATCGTACTTAGGAGAAGAAAATTTTCTTCCTGCGTTAAAGTACTTTTATTATTTCCTTAGCTTCGATCACCGTTCATACCTCGCCTCTTCTTTAAAAAATTACATTTTAATACAGTTCATTAGTTTTAGTTTTTAAAAACAAAAAATAAATATGTGCTTTTAGTAAAAGAAAAAACATGATTAGTCATTTTTGACATCTTTTCACGTCTAAGTCATTCACAATAGTAAAACCTTTGCTAACTAAATTTAAAAATTAGATAAATAAAAGGGAACAGACTTAATGAAATGATCCTTTTTTTTATAATCAGAGCAGGGTATATTTTTTATTAAGTTTGCCACGAAGTTCATAACATCTAGAAGCGATCGTCGGAAACCCTATAAAATTCTTATATAAATGATTGCTCTTTTATAATCGTATCATACTTTTTGCTTAAAAATTAATATAATTTTCAAGAACTATGGGATTTTTTAAATTTATTTTGAAACAATTATTTTTTTAATGTCAGGTAGTAACTCAAAAATATGATATTTTGACGAAATACCTTAGAAGGGATTCCTTGATTATGTATGCTTGACAAAACATATTAGTATTTGTTAGATCTTCACAATTAAAAACACATGGTAACCTGTTTTTATTTTTATTTTGTATAAACTCCCTTCAATTTAAAATATTTTAATATGCAGTTAAGTTGCTTACATTATTATAATTTGTTGCCAATGTGATTATTTTTTGCTAAAAATTTTGATTAATAATATTTATAAAAAATTTTCTAAACTTTTACTTTTTTTTTAATACACACACAGCTATACCGATGAATTCCAAGTGCGCGAAGATTTAATGGGCTTGGCCATAGGTTCACATGGTGCCAATATTCAAGCAGCTCGTCTGTTGGAAGGTGTTACAAATATTGAATTAGAGGAGAAGTCGTGCACTTTTAAAATCACCGGCGAATCGGAGGATGCAGTGCAGCGAGCACGGGCGATGCTTGAATATGCCGAGGAATTCTTTCAGGTTCCTAGAGAGTTGGTGGGCAAGGTGATCGGCAAGAATGGGCGAATCATACAGGAAATCGTGGACAAAAGTGGTGTCTTTCGAATTAAGGTATGCGTTATAATTTATAAAAAGTCCAATTTTCGTTTAATTGTTCGATATTTGAAAATTGCATGCGTTGGGATTCGCACAGATCGCAGGCGATGATGAGCAGGATCAGAATATACCACGTGAGCATGGTCATGTACCGTTTGTGTTCATTGGCACCGTTGAAAGTATTTCAAACGCCAAAGTGTTGCTGGAATATCACTTGGGGCATTTGAAGGTTTGTTTCTACACTATAAATTATAATTTTTTGATTTTCTTTCAAATAATAACAAATACAATATTTCATGTAGGAAGTGGAACTGCTGCGTCAAGAAAAACTGGAAATCGATCAACAACTGCGCGCAATACAAGAATCCACAATGGGTTCGATGCAGAATTTCCCTGTCACACGACGATCGGAGAGAGGGTATAGCAGTGACATAGAGTCGGTGCGTTCGGGACGTGGCGGACCGCGCGGGCGTGGTAGAGGTCGAGGCGGTGGCAATGGCGGCAATCAGCGATATCATCAAGGTACATCAATTGCCTGAATTTCCATACAAACTTTTATTTAAAGGTGCGTTTTATTTTGTAGGCCGTCGGGACGATGATGATTACAATTCCCGCGGTGACCATCGTTACAACGATCGCAGTGCCGGCGGTGGTGGTGGTGGCTATCGTGGCGGAAATGATCGACGCGGTGGCGGTGGTAAGCAAAATGGTAACATATCAAGTGTTATAAGCGCAAACACGAGTGTTTGAATTTACTTTTTGGTTCTTCCATTTTTACATTTTGTCGTATGTGTTGTAAATAAAGGACGCAGAGAACAGAACGGCAGGGATCTAGGCAGAGACCATTACCACAATCATAATGATGATATGCGTGAGGATACGCGTGAATTGAGCAGCGTCGAAAGAGGTGCTTACGCCACATATTATTTAATCAACATTTGTATATTTACTGTAATTTTTGATTTCACTTTAGCTGAAAGCAACTCATCGTACGAGGGTAGCTCAAGAAGACGTAGGCGGCAAAAGAATAACAGCGCTGCTCATAACAGTGAGTATGATGTCGCCAAATTAAATTTCCAAAAGTGACGCGTTATTTTTTAATGGCAAACTGTTTTCATAATTGCGAAAAATGTTGTTTTTTATAAATTTTCGTTTGTGGTGGCAGAAATTATTAAAACAAAAAAATGCCAAGATCGGCTGAACCAAAGTTATAATACCATTCAAACTTGCATTTCTTATAGCATAAAAGGGTATGAAAAGAGACTTGTTTAGATTTTGATCGGTTGACGGTGTCAGCATTGTGACATCTTTTTTTTTTTTTTTTTAAACTGCTTCGGAAATTTATCAAATAAAAAAGTTTTCTATACAAGAACTTAATTTTGATCAGTCAGTTTGTATAGCAGCTAAATCAGATATCTTCGGTTTCAACATATGAACAGCTTCTCGGGAGGAAAAGCAAAAGCGTCTGCAAAACTTCAAATCGATATCTAGCAATCTGAGACTCATTCGCATCTATACAGGCATAGAGACAGACATAGCTAACATTTATGTATGTATTATATATATTTTTTTTTTACTTCCTGGGTATTACAAACTTCGTGATAAACTTAATTACAAATTTGCGTTTTTCATATTGAAATTTATCTTAATCGTAAATGTTTTTTACATGATTCTTCCATTAGCAAGATAAATCGAAATCGATACATTCAAAAATTTTTATTTGCATAATACCGATTCGATAAAAAAAATATGTACGATACAAAATTATCACATAATTGGCTTTATAAGTTTTTCAAAGTTTTTTTAGTGCCACTAAATCAAAACAAAACCATATGTGACAGCTTGCCGTAGTTCACAATAGCATAATCGAAACTCGTTCGCTTGAAAATAAAAATATATGGGAAAGGATTATTCACGCGAAGTTTGCGATAAGCCTGAATATATCCTGTCCAGGTAATAACGAATGGGTTAGAAGCGATTTTCTCATCTTCCCGATTCTCTTCCTACTTTTTAATGGTTGGTTCAAATATATTAAGATTCTGGATTATTTCGGGCGAAAAAGCTTGAGTTAGAGATAGCCCAAATATTTATTGTTGGTGTTATGCTTCCGTATGATAACGAGTAAAGGAACAAAGCCTTAGCCTAGACTTTTATCAGCTGTTTGTCATTAATATAACGTGTCGCTTTTTGATTTTGATATTTAGTAACGATCGACTATTAGTTTTTCGGAGAGGTTTTCAAGCACTAATCACGTTTGTTTTTGTTGCAGCGAATGGTGGGGTTACCAATAACAAATCCCAGCCCAGCAAGCAACCACAAAACGCAGATAACAATAAAAACAACAATGGTGGTGGTGGCGGTGGTGCCGGCAGCTCGTCGGAGCGATCGAAACAACAGAGCGTGAACAGCAAAGATGGCAGTAATGTGGCAATCAAAGGCAACATTGAGAAAACACAGGCGCCACAACAACAGCAACAACAACAGCCACAGCAACAGCAATTACCACCGCAGCAGCAGCAGCAACAACAACAACAGCCACAGCAGTCGCAGCAGCAGCAGCAACAGCATCATCAACAACAACAGCAACAGCAGTCGCAGCAGTCAAAACAACAACGACGCACCAAAAACAGAAACAATCACGCAGACTCGATACAACCACAGGAGAACAATAAGCGGGAGACACTTGTCAATGGAACATCCTAATGGGTCGACAACAACAACAAATAAAAATATATAAAATAAAAAATGCGTACGCATGCAATAGCCTCAAAAGCAACTGCGACAACAACAGTGACAGCAGAATATGTAGTAAAACAGAAAACAAAAACAAAAAAACGATGAGGAATTAGGATGCAATACCTAACATCTTCGAAGCATTAATTGAATTGAATGAGCTAAACAATAAAACTAAAAAAAAAAAAATAATTAAACAAAAAATATTAAATAATGAAAATAATTTAAAAAAGAACACATTTAAACAACTTAAAAGGAAACACTACAAAAAGAATACAGCAAGAGAGGATTTTTATTAAAGAATAATAAAAAAAAAATCATAAGAAAAAACAATGACAAAAAGGAAAACTGAAAATTAAAAATATATAGAAAATAGTTTACTAACTCGATACAAACGAATTATACACACATACACACAAACGCTAACATAAATCATCAAACACTTAACAAACATTTCATGATGCATTAAATTTAAATTCGAAGAGGTAAATAAAAAGCAAACTTAGTTTACAAACAGCAGTGCGTTGTCAAGTCCATTAAATATTATCTAATTTCTAGTAACGATACACGAAATGGGATTATATTTATGTAATGTGTGTGAATGGAATTAAATTTTGTTAGCAGTAAATAACAAAGGCAAACAACGCGAAAATAGTAAATGTAATAGAACGCACATGGCTTTCAATATTTTTTTATTAACAAAAAATTTAATCAATAATTCTAAAAATTAAATTAATTTTGAAAAAAAACAATTTAAAAAAATTAAATAAAACAAGTAAACTTTGTTAATTTTTGTAAATTTAAATTGTTAAATTTTTTTTTAAATTATAAAATATAATATTAATATTTTTTCAATAAAATATTTAATTTAATTTTGATAAATGTTTTTAGCAGGTTCCCTGTCCAATGTACAGCGTCCATGTATCATATATGAACAAATTTTTGGTTGATTTGAAATAAGTTTATTAAATTTATCACTGATGATACATTGAGCGCATGCAATTCAACTTCGTAGTGACACGTTCGTGTATCATAGCTGATACAAATTTTTTGTTACCGTTATATCACTGTCAAGATGTGTGGGATAGTTCAAAAATTCATCGTTAACCTCTACAAACGCCTACAGCAATATAATTTCAAAAATAAGTGTTGGACGTGTACCGTTAAAAATTAATTTTTGTANCAAAAATTGGTCATAATTTTGGTTTTATAAAAAAAATTGGTTTGAAATTTTTTTAATTGCAAAATTTTGTAAAGATTTTTTTAACTACATTTTTTTCGCCGGTGCAATGATTTCCTCGCTCGCGCAATATGCATCTAATTATCGCGTTGCTTGCTCCAATTTAACCTCTTCTCCACACTGCTGTTCGCACCAACTTCGAATTCGAATATAACTTTAAAATTTCATGCGCTCTCTTCTTTCGCTCGCCATTCATCACACTTACTTTTCATAGCCAGCGCTATGCCACGCCCCTTTCGCTACCTTCGCCATCCGCCTGCATTCGTACGTGTATAATTCGTTGTATAATTTAAATCAGAAAAAAAGCAATGTAATTGCATATATTTTCTTTATTTCTTTAAGATTAGTATTTTTTTTTAATTTTTTTTCGAAATTCGACTATAAATTTTGTAATTCTCGTACTTTCATATAACTGTACTTTCGAACTGTAGTTGCCAGGTTGCAAGTTACACTAACAAAAAAAAAAAACAAAAAACAACCAACAACAAAGATAAAATAGTATGTAGCTGGAAGATGCAAGCGCACTTCCGCGTTGTTGACACACATACACACACAACTACACCGGCGCCCACACACACACGCGCCAAATCATGCCCACCATGCCGCCATTTCTTCAACATAAATCCATTTGTGTGCAAAAATGTTTGAAAGTAAAGATGAGCAAAGATAATTAGCAACAAATTACAAATGCAGTGCAATGAAAAATGCAAAAACAAAAACAAAAAGCAAAACAGAGAACCAAACGTCCATTTGTTTATTGCCCACATGAATGCGTATAAGGGTGAAAACCGCAAATGCAACAACAACAGCACAGCTAACGACAGCAAACAACAACTAAACGGCAACAATATATGTGAATTTTATTTAATACTTTTGTAATAATAACATTTATTATTTCTACTTTCTCACAACCAGTGCGTCGTATACTAACTTAATATTTAATTAAATACTCTTAAATTATTTAAAAAGGAATAAAAGAAAAAATGATCAAAAGTCAAGGCATATATTACTACCTATACTCTAAAAACCACAAAAATAACAACTACATCTACTGCTATCAAATGTTTATATGTATACAGCGCTAGCAAGTAGCCAATTTGCGCGCTATAAAACGATCCCACACAAACACACACACACACACACGCGTGTAGGTGCACATGCAGGGCGCGTGCTCACCCTAGTGTGTCAAAAAGCATATATTTATATATAAACAATAATTGGAAGCAAAACATAGTTACATACATATGTACATATATATCCCTCTTGCACTAAAGTAACAGCAAAAACAAAAAAATGTGTGCGGATTGTTTATGCGCTACCGCATGGTGGGAGGCAATGCAATTGAAATGCAAAAACTAGAAATTTATGTTGCGAAATTTTCAGTAAATGCTTGTAATATACTTGTAAGCAACAACAACAAAAAAGTGTAATACGAACGAAAAAGAAAAACAAAAATATTAAGAAAAATATATATAAAAAATGAAAAACAGTAAAATCGAGTAAAAAAAAGAACAAATAAAATTTGAAGAAAAAGTGGAAATACTAAAATAAATATTGTCAATTTACGTTTTACAAAACCGTGAATAACTGGACGTTTCTTAATTAGCTGACAGCACAAGTAGTAGAAGTAGTAGCAGGAAAAAGCAAAAGTTTTGTATGCAAAATTTGTTTGTTGCATGTTTGTGTGCTGGCGTTGGTGACGGCTGCAAAAAGCTGATGCTTTGTTTGCTTTGTTCTGAAATGTATGTATGTATGTGTGAGTTTGTACATACATTTGTTATATTGAAATTTTCGTTTAAACTAACAATCTCATATATGTATGTATGTCAGAGACGTCTGTCTGAGCATTTACTAGCTTTTAAGTTTGAATCTTTTTTTAAACAAATTACCAATCCAAGCCAAGTTAGATCTCCGAAAGTACAGCCCTTGGCTGGATAAAATCCGTGTCAATTCCGGTAACGTAGAACAGGCTGTTGTGAAAATCTCTTTTGGAAGCTCTTTTTTAAAAGTTGGCGGCTTGAGTTATGCATCTGCTCACACCACCCTAATGTGAACACGTAGGAAGTGTGTAGACAGTTTTGTACTTCAAAGTCAGCAATTGTTGTTGCAGCAGCATAAACCATGCTATTTTCGCACTGTGTTGACTTGCCAGTGCTTGATTTGGTATGAATGCAGTTCTGTTTAGAATAGCAGGCTTTTAGGAGTTTTAGTATTATTCAGCACTTGCTGTAAAGCCTTAATTTTAAGACATTTGTTTCTTATTCGAAATATGTTTTGCTAAGTACTATTTTTTTCAATTTTTTGTGTTCTTGATTTTTTATTTTTTAATATTTTTT